ACTAAATAAAATCTATAGCCTGTATTATTAGAATTCTGTAGAAAAAATTGAGACCAATCAGGAAAGGAATACAATATGTAAGCCCGTTCGTGAAATTTCACTGAAACAAGCTAGATATATATACGCCTAGAGAGATATTTTGCGATGACTATGACAGCAGGAATATTTGCTATTCACATTACAAGACGAAGATTTGTATATTTTTTAATTAATCTCTGTGTGTGTGTGCACCTTCTTTTTCAACATTTTACCTTTTACAACATTGTTTCTTCTTCAACATTGTACCGGTACAAGCCATCATTTTACTGTAAGTCAGTAGCTTTAGCTTTTTTTTAATTAATCTCTGTGTGTGTGTGCACCTTCTTTTTCAACATTTTACCTTTTACAACATTGTTTCTTCTTCAACATTGTACCGGTACAAGCCATCATTTTACTGTAAGTCAGTAGCTTTAGCTTTTAATTTCTTTTAATTTTGTAATTTAAAATTATTAAATTGTAATTAGCCCTAATTTGGGTTTCATTTCTTTATTATTGCATTTGGTTTGTTGTATCGTCTTTTGTTGCATACTGTTTGTCAACGAGCCATTTAATTAAATAAGAGATAAAATTTTCTAATCTTACAACGGTACATAACACTTCGATACTAGCGAATCAGACTATGAGCATAAATTGTAAATTGTAGTTAATAAATTTTGCATTTGAATCTAGTGAAAATAGGGAAATGTTAAACATGTGGGAAATACTGCAAAATTTTGTAGAAACACACAGATCAGGCTTTGGCAGGGCCAGCAGCTAATTTATTACCCAACAATACAAAGTCACACTTTCATAACATTTTAAAGAAATGGCAAAAACAGATGTCTCTAGATAGGTTCCTTGTAAAAATTGAACACGGGTGTGTAAAAAAGATTTCCAAATGTCCAGAAAGGGTAAATTAAGTTATTCTGTTAGGGACTATCAATGTTGTTCTAAGGAAAGCACTCCCAATATTTAACCAGAAGTTCTCATGCAAGGAGGTTCTCCTTCCAAAGCAGTAACCCTTTCCTCCTATTCCTTATCTCATCACCATTACAATTCTCCTCAAAGGTAAGCGCAGCAGTGCAACTTAATTTAAATTACAATACCTTTGAAAATTAATTTATGTGTGTATTTATGAAAGTGTGAGTGAATTTTGTAATGTATCTTCTGAATTTCCATTATTTCTTATGGGAAAAATTGTTATAGGATTATTATTTTTATTAGGTTGCCAGGGCGCATGTTCCCAGAACGAGTTTAACTTGTGACCTGAGCTGAGGTACTAGAACTACTGTATAATTAGCTTTACTATGAATGATTTTTAGGATTTTTATTATATTTTAACTCTTTCACTGCGGAACAACGCACACTGCGTTCATCTGCCGTTCTCAAAAGCACGGACCAACACGCTCTGGGTTGTTTCAATATCATATTTGTTTCTTTCATATTTCCTCGGTTCAAGTTTTTAAGAGCTATTTTTAAATAAGACTTTAACATAGAAGAGTGGTACTTCATTTGTTACATGCAAAACCAAGGTTTATTTGTTGTCATTTGAAACATTATTTTAATGATTTTCTTCACTATTTTTTTCTATTGTTCATATGGCTACCCTAGGCCCTAGTAGGTGAATAAGTTTCCTAAACGATTAACAGCTCAAAAAGCCTTGGAATTGTTTTATACTATTTCCTTTGATAGTGAAGATGATTTATATTTTGATCCATTGCATGATTCCGATAGTAGTAGTTTTAGAGGATTTGAGTTAGGGCTAGGGCCTATAAGATGAGGTGAGGTATGCATACATCATAGGGTTTGGGAAAAAATGGTTTCGAATAAAATGTTTTCACATTTTAAGGTTCTTTTCTGTAACTTATTTTTATTTAAACTGAATAAATAAGTTTACAAACATATAGTCCTTTCAATTATCTTTCATTTGATACCAAGTTTAGTCTTATAAACCAAAGAATAATATTTTAAAAACCCAACCTCTCACTCCTTTTAGATCTTTGAAAAAAATGTACATTTTCTCGATTAAAAAATTCTGCAGCGAAAGAGTTAAAAATCTGTGGCAATTTGTGGACTAAACCTAGTGATTTTTCCTAGGCATAAAATAGGGATAGTACACAAAACTTAATTAAAATGCAAATTAAATAATAAAAGGAAACTTTAAAACTTAATAAAACTCATATTTTTGGGTGTATGACTGTGATGACTGTATGTCATGAGTATGACATGGACAATTATGGGCCAAAGATAAAAGAAGTAAACTTAAACTTGGTTATGATTTATTTATTTTAGTTTTAAATCCACCTTTAAAACTTTAAACTTTAAATTTAAAACTTAATGAAACTCATATTTTTGGGTGTATGACTGTGACGACTGTATGATGTATGTCATGAGTATGACATGGACAATTATGGGCCAAAGATAAAAGAAGTAAACTTAAACTTGGTTAATGATTTATTTATTTTAGTTTTAAATCCACCTGTGTTCCTTTTCCAGAACCTGGCGGTCCTAAAAGAATGGCATGAACACCTTCGGGCTCATCATAAGCTGGACGTGGAACTGCCGGCATTTTCGTGTTGACAACCTAAGAGTCTACAAAATTTGACCTTACAAAGGTCAAACCGGATGTGAACTATGCCGAATAAAAAACCAGATCATTACGTTTACGAAAAACAATTTAATTTAACCTAATAAGCTTCTGTGATGTTGGGATTTGGAAATTTTTATCTAAGGATAATTCTTTACTTTTTGGCTGGACATTTTGATAATTTTATTAACGAACCGAAATTTTTTCCGAAGCTGCATTTAACTATTTTATTTGAATTTGATGAAATTTTATTTTAATGTTACTAGTCAGCAATCAGAGGACGGGTAGAAATTAAACTTATACCGTAAATTTGAATTAAATAATTAATTGCAATATATTTTGAAATTTTGTTTCAAGACAATATACAAAGAATTAGAAATTTATCAGAAAGGATAATATATTGGGGGGGGGGGGCGCGTTAAAGTCACGTGAAGTAAATAAATAGTGGAACAAGATATGTTTCGGCTTGAAAAAAAAAATTACAGAACAATTAAAGAGACGTTTCGGCTAAACGCCCTCTTCGGCAGACAATACACAAAACAAGAAATAACAAATAATTTGAAATTAAGAACTAAAGTGTTCCCAGATCACAGTGTAGTTCTCTCAGTCAATGTGTAGAAACAAGGGCGCACGATTCACTATAAAACCTAAACCGGAAGTAAAGTTGTTCAAAACCAAAACGCGCATATCAGTAAATCTGTTGTTGCCACCAGAACACGGTGTCTCCAGGCAAAGCAGGGTGCTACGCGAGAAGGGTGCCACCTACACGGTGCTTCCAGAGCAGGGTGTAACTACATAGTGTCACCAGAGCAGTTCGACACCAACAGGATGCCATCAGAGCATGGTTGGGACTCACTCCGAAACCTCTCATTAAGACTACGATTCCTTAATACGATCTTTGTGTCTGTGGCTTCATGTTGGAGGAACTTTTTAAAACTGAAACTTATAGAGAACGTTTTTGCGGTTTACCGTTGAACAATCTCGAATGTTATTATTGATGACGTGATTGAGAGGTGCGCATCTTTGAAGGCCAGGAAAGTTTACGTCTTGTTTGCAAAGTTTAATGTTTTCAATAAAAGTAAATTTTTGTTGACCTTTTAAAACGCTGTTACCTCAAGTTCTATATGTTCTTCTATTTTTTTTTTTTTTTGGTTACTTAAGGACGTAATTTGCAGACACTGCTATAGGCGGTTCTTTACGCCCTGGTCAAGAGTTAATCAGCGCAGGGCTGGTGGTGACTGAGTTCGGAGAAAGGTTGACACCAGGAGTTTACCGCACCGGTTGACAAAACAACCCTAGTGACGTCTCCGCGGGTGAGGGCGATATATATGGCGGGATTTGAGATTTTGATGAGTATAATATTAAAACTTGATATCAATGAAGTGAGTTATGAGGCTTTGAATGAAAGCAATTTTTTTTTTTTTTTTAAATCAAACATTTCATTTTTTTTTATTTTTTTTTAAAGAGGAAAACTAGTTAACTGTAATGTTAACTTTGCACAATTCTTTTGCTGCCCTCTCGGATACTACATTTCAGCGAAGATATTTTTTATTTTTAATTCTGTTTTTACTGTTGTTTGTTTGCTAATGAAAGCTTCTTGTCGACACGTTCGTTGTTTTGTTGCTCCTTTTTTTTTTTCATGTTCTCCCTTATTGTGTGTCAGTCCTTTTCTTTTTTAAATTTAATGTTTTAGTTGTATTGTAACTACTTTCTCAAGTAAATATGTGAAATTTCTTTGTTGAGCATGTTTTTGTGAGAATGTGTGCATGGGTGAGTGGGTGGGGGGGGGGATACATTTAAATCAGAAGAAGACTTTAATACTCAATTATTTTTTATGACAAATTCAAATACTGAAAAACTATTTTTTTAATAATCATTTTCGCAGCATTTATATTATAAAAATTCAAATTCAATCTTAGCTTACAGCAGCTCTAAGAGATTTAGATCCAGCAAGTATGTCCAAAAAAAAAAAATAAATAGAGGTCGTAGGGTCCAGCCAGTGGAGTAGCCATGGTTAGTGCGGAGCCGGTTTCGTAAAAGATAAAAGTTGATTAAAATAGAAGCTTCAACTTTAACAAGAGTAATGTGCCACCAGAGCAGGGTGTCACCACTGTAGGTTGCTACCATGGGATGGTGTCTCAAGAGAAGACAGACTCGGAAAAGGCCCAACGTGCTGCATTTGGGGAGTCTGGCTGGGGAGGGTAGTGACACATAGATCTACCGCTTCTTGTGCCACCAACCCAAGTTATGCCATTGGCTTGATGTCATATGCGGTTTTTAATTTATCCAATAATGTCTCTATCTATTTATTTATTTATATCATTTTTAATATGCTAAAACGAATAGCGACAGGATATTTCAGAATGAAGAAAAAAAAGTTTTGTTTTTTTCATTTATTCATCTTCATGTGTCCTCAAAATAACCCAGTTCAGATCTGTTAGCAAATCAACCAATGATGACGTCAGTGCCCGGAGTCACGCTCACAGTTTTGATCTCATCGAATTCGACGTCAGACCTGAAAGCGAAAGTAGCACTGGGATTTCCGGGAATCCCTTGAGAAAATGGCGAACCGTAACCCTGGCCCAGATCCGAACCGACACAGTTGTGACACCAGAAGTAGTTGTCAGGGTCAACCTTCTTCTTGATGCTCAGCAGTCTGAAAAACAAAAAAGTGTGGGTATGGGGGGGGGGGGGAGCTATGCATGGATAAAGGTTAAGAGTACCTAAAGGGCATTACTCACAGAAAATTGCACCAGCTTAGCTGGAAAAATAAATGTGCCTACCAAGGTGATGGGGAAAATGTTATCTTTCTCTCGGGAAACTGAACTTAAAAAGGGCAAAATATCTACCGTTGATTTCTCCATTTTCTGTTAGTTATTCCAGAGGTTGAAGGTCTTGAGTTAAAGAATGTGTATAACCAATTGAGACCATGGAATCAATTGTACTATAACGCTCAAAAGTCCCAAAGAACCCATGAAGTTTAAGAAGATAATACATTTATTATTACGATATTCAACTATAGTTCAGAGCAACCGCTTATTCACCAAATGTCTCTAAAACTAGTTTGACAAAATTTTAATTCAAACTTTTTAAAAATGTTGCATCTGCTTGTGAAAATTATTATTTTTAATTAATTTATTTTTAAAATTCGAATTATCAGAAACAAAAGTTATAATTTATAATGTTCTTTAGTTATATAAGGATTTCCCCAAAATATTTGTTAAGTTTATACAAAGTGCTCTTATACGATTTAAGAACCACTTATACCACTTATTTAGACTCCCAGTGTTATTTGATTTTTTTTTTCCCGGCTAACCTTGCGTATGTTGCATCATCAGCCCAAAATCTTGTTTTCCAGTCTGGCATATCCTCCGCCGGCTCGTTGATGTAAGAGCCGTAACCGAACGTGTATAGCTTATGGGCCCCTTTTAAAGCCGCATCGATACCTGCCTCGTCGGCAGCTCCTGATGCTAGGGGCCATTCTTTGCCGCAAGAATTAGCCATAATGCCGGACCTAAGTCCCGGATGTACTGGGGTGCTGCCCACAGGAGAGGATATCATATTACCTGTTGCATAAAGAATATTTTTTTAAAATTTATATCATTGTCATTATTATTTCTTAAATGGGCCATTCCTACATGACTTTACGTTATTTAAGCCGATTTCGGGACCCTCTCCCGCTAGCGTTTCAAAATTGTTACAAAATTTACACACCATGCGTGTCATCAATTATGGTTGACACCAGTGTTTGGGGGGGCAGTGCCAGGAGTTCCAGTTGATTTATTGTTGGACATATTTTTGCTCTGTGGGGGCACTTGGCTTTCCCCAGGGGGGGGCACAGTGCCCCCCTTCCCCGGAGATATAGCTGAAAGAAACCCTGGATGACACTCCCATCCCGCCCCGTGCACCCCAACCCACCGCACCCCCAAATTGAAAAAAGTTGAAATGGGTGAAGCGTGGATTAAAAATTGAAATAATTGTAATAGCCTGATTTTTAAAAAAAATAACGATAAAAAACATTTTTAAAAATTGCTCTCTTTTTTGGTTAAAATATTGAATGTTTGCTTGCGTTGGTATTTTGGTATTTTGTTCCCGTGACTTTCCAAAAAAATAATTATGATGCTATTTATGTGATGGCTTTCCGAAGGTATCGCTTGAGCTACTTTGGTGAGACAGGTAGTGTACTGCATGATAGATTCAGCGAACATCTTTTTAAAACAATTTTTTTCTTTTCTTTTAAAGGGATGATAATACTATGACTTTGTTTGCTGACGAATTATTTGAATCGTGCCCGTTGTTACCACTTCCGGGTACTGACCTCCAATCAAAGTGGCCATACACCCGATGCCATCTTGAATGATGTCATGCAAGGTGTCCACGTAACTGGTCAAGGTGGTCGAGTTTGTGATGGTAGACTTTTGGATGAGGCTGTTGAAAATGTATTGAATGTAGAACTCTTTGTCATTAGCATGAACCTGGGAACAAAAAAAAATGAGATATTCAGAGTATTGAAGAGGTGTTCATATGAAGTGCCGAAATACAATATTAGGATCGTTAAAGACGAAATAATTTAACCCCTAAAAAGATTTTTTCCGTTTCAATTCTTGGTATGAATTTTTTGTTATTTAATAATTATTAATATTATAACGGGCCCACCCGCTATTTAACTGCATATTTATTTCACAAACTATTGTAGAAAAAAAATTATTACGCAGCAAACGCACTTGTGATATTTTTTTTAAATAATCTTATTTAGCGCAGTTATCGGGAATTTTATTTTGTGAAGTCGGTGGCCATATATTTCCTTCACCTTCTCCTTGAAAAAAAGGAAAAATTGGTTTTTAAGGGATGAAAATTTGATAGAAATATGTTGTCATTGGCAAAGAGTGCACCTGCAAAGTTTGGGCTCGATAGGGCCAATGGAAGTGAGCCAAGTAGACGTCTTAAATTTGTGCCGGTCACAAACAAAAGCAAAGTTAATTTAAAGGATTTACTTAACTAATTATAAAAAGTCTTGGACTGAAATAAAGCTTTCAAATAGATTCAATAGACACCAACAAATTGTGTCAATCTAACAATATAAGGTAAGCTTTAATAATGTAAAGTAGAGGAAAGCATCAATAAAATTAAACTCCATAGATAGGCCCTATATCAGAAGGAAAGAAATATCGAAGAATACATATTCGAGACATTAGTAATTCATGTATGTTTACAGTGTGGCTACTTATACTGACAGGTTGGCCACTAATGCTGACGGTGCGGATATGATGCTGACAGTGTGGCTACTTATACTGACAGGTTGGCCACTAATGCTGACGGTGCGGATATGATACTGACTGTGCTATTGAAATGTTACATTAAGAAATGGCGTCAGCGGGGCGAGTCTAGACTCTTATGCCCCCCCCCAATTACCCCTCCCCGGTCCGACGTATCGGGCCGCGGAGCGGCACGTTGGTGATGCCCACTCGTCAGGACGGCCCCCACACGGGCCCCTGTGCTATTAAAGAAGACCGTCATTACAGTGTTGAAGCTACTTGCTACTTGCTCTTACCTCGTAGTCCAGGAAGGTTGGATAAAAATGGTCTTCTTTATATATGACGCTCGGGTGGTTCAGCAGCCGGTCAATCTAGAGGTCAAAGAAACAGCATCTGTCATGGGCGGACCAGTAAAATATTTGTGGAACCATCCGTAAAAATGTATTACATGGTCTTAATCATTTAATTGTGTTCATATTTACGTTGACAAGACGGCTCACGTCATCTTCCCTAGTGCCTCTTTAGCTGGTATTTAAAATATTGCGAGCAAGAAAAGAGAGATTTTTTTTTTAAATTTTAAAATCGATCATATGATAGGGAGAAAAAGTTTTAATCAAATTAAAATAAATTACTACAATCATGTTAAATATGATTAAAGGAAAGGGTATGTAGGTTTTTACAATAAATAAAAAAATATTAGAAACCTTTTTTAATCCTTTTGTGGTGTTTAAAGTTTGGGCACACACACCCATCAAACATAAAACTCACCTCACTGCTTGAAGAAGACGTGTTCGCCCCGAAATGATTTAGGAACACCGAGAAGATTCCAGTAAAAGGGGAGTTTTCCAACGGATCGTTTCCTATGTGAACATAGCCACCCCAGTTGGGGGAGAGGTCGTTCACGACGATGAGGGCGTCCTTCACGGTTCTAACAATATAAGGTAAGCTTTAATAATGTAAAGTAGAGGAAAGCATCAATAAAATTAAACTCCATAGATAGGCCCTATATCAGAAGGAAAGAAATATCGAAGAATACATATTCGAGACATTAGTAATTCATGTATGTTTACAGTGTGGCTACTTATACTGACAGGTTGGCCACTAATGCTGACGGTGCGGATATGATGCTGACAGTGTGGCTACTTATACTGACAGGTTGGCCACTAATGCTGACGGTGCGGATATGATACTGACTGTGCTATTGAAATGTTACATTAAGAAATGGCGTCAGCGGGGCGAGTCTAGACTCTTATGCCCCCCCCCAATTACCCCTCCCCGGTCCGACGTATCGGGCCGCGGAGCGGCACGTTGGTGATGCCCACTCGTCAGGACGGCCCCCACACGGGCCCCTGTGCTATTAAAGAAGACCGTCATTACAGTGTTGAAGCTACTTGCTACTTGCTCTTACCTCGTAGTCCAGGAAGGTTGGATAAAAATGGTCTTCTTTATATATGACGCTCGGGTGGTTCAGCAGCCGGTCAATCTAGAGGTCAAAGAAACAGCATCTGTCATGGGCGGACCAGTTCTTGCTCTTACCTCGTAGTCCAGGAAGGTTGGATAAAAATGGTCTTCTTTATATATGACGCTCGGGTGGTTCAGCAGCCGGTCAATCTAGAGGTCAAAGAAACAGCATCTGTCATGGGCGGACCAGTCAAATATTTGTGGAACCATCCGTAAAAATGTATTACATGGTCTTAATCATTTTATTGTGTTCATATTTACGTTGACAAGACGGCTCACGTCATCTTCCCTAGTGCCTCTTTAGCTGGTATTTAAAATATTGCGAGCAAGAAAAGGGAGATTTTTTTTTTTAATTTTAAAATCGATCATATGATAGGGAGAAAAAGTTTTAATCAAATTAAAATAAATTACTACAATCATTTTAAATATGATTAAAGGAAAGGGTATGTAGGTTTTTAAAATAAATAAAAAAATATTAGAAACCTTTTTTAATCCTTTTGTGGCGTTTAAAGTTTGGGCACACACACCCATCACACATAAAACTCACCTCACTGCTTGAAGAAGACGTGTTCGCCCCAAAATGATTTAGGAACACCGAGAAGATTCCAGTAAAAGGGGAGTTTTCCAACGGATCGTTTCCTATGTGAACATAGCCACCCCAGTTGGGGGAGAGGTCGTTCACGACGATGAGGGCGTCCTTCACGGCTTTCTTGTTTATGGCCTGACCTGAAATGACGGCAATTTGGTGCAAGACTGAATCATAATGACACAAATTGTGTGCAAGACTGAATCATTATGACACAAATTGTGTGAAAGACTGAATCATAATGACAATAGTTTGGTGCAATATACAAATTATTAAAATTGCTGACAGCAAATCATAAAGAGCAAACGGCGAATAAATTCAAATTCAATTTAGCCAAACCTAAACATAAACCTAAACTTAAACATAAACCCAAACATAAAGGTAAATCTACACCTAAACATAACCCTAAACCTACACCTAAACATAACCCTAAACCTACACCTAAACATAAC